TAACAACAACAATAACAATAATAGGCTGTGGGAATTACGATATATGAGTAACATCAGTACAAAAAACATTGGTAAGGATTTTGTAGGGTGTGGTATGGGAGGAGATCAGTGGGGAGGTGATACCATGAGTGACCAAACAGGGCGACAGCAACCCTAGTGACACCACTCTGTAGATGCAAAGTATGAATAAACAAAGTTGATATTTTGACAACAGCACTTGAAATCAGGACACTAGGGGACAGTTAGGGGAGTGGATGGGAGGATTGTATGTGGAAATAAATTGCATTCTGGAATACTGACAGCTTACAGTTACTTCACATTCAATTGGGTCAGTGGTTCTTAGCCTGTGGTCTTCCAGCTGCTTTGGACTTCAGCTCCCAGAACAGTAGCCAGCATAGCCCATAATGATTCTGGGAGTTGAAGTACAAAACCTCTGGAGAACCAAAGGTTGACAATACCTGATTTAGGTATTTTCCTTTAATTACCTTGGTATCATGGATGGCAGCAGGATATTAGGTATCTGCCAATGCTTGTGGTCAGCAGGGGATTCAGTGCTGCCCATCAGCAACATCTGGTCCCATTGCAGGGTATTATTGTTGGTTTTGCCATTGTCTTCCACTCTGCTTTATTCCCTCTTGTCCAGAGTAGAAGATAACAAAAGGTAGAGTAGATGCTACAGCCTCCAGAGTTATCTGCTATGTCTTTGTAATGGTCTTTAGACCCAGAGGCCAAAAGAGAGCATAAGATGGGGGCACAATGAGGGCATCCTGCTAGAGGGCCCAACAAAACCTGCAGCTGGTATAGCCAGATGTAAGATAGAATAACCAAATAGCCAAACACTAAAAGCACAGGTAAATGGAAATGACTACCACAGTTCACATCCACATCCTATTTCACATACTGTAGCTTCTTGCTATGTCAGGAGTGGGAAGAAGACAGACTGGAATCTACTGGTAGATCTCTGGGTGATCTGCAATAGATCAACAAAGAACTTCAGAAAAATACCTAATTTCTTCCTAAATTAGGCTCCTCAAATCAAGAAGATTGGGAGGTGGGTGGGTGGAAGATTAATGTGGATTTGTGTGTGAT